TTAACTAGCATGAAAGAAATAGAGAAATATTTGTAAGCAGCATTTTGTTGATAAACCAGTTAGTAATGACTATTATAATTTTTCAACTTCATTGTATAAGTAACTGTTTTTTGTCGTCTCACCTTTCGTAGAATCATCAAATAAATTTTTTGCTTTTGTTAAGCCGTCAGCAGTGTTTGTCAACCCTCTTTCATAGCTGAATAAATCAGAATTTGTGGCAGCTTGTGAAGCAGGAAAGAAATTGAACATAATCCTTGCGTAATTGGAGTACTGAACACCAGACCAGTTACCATCGTAGTTGGAAGGTAATTTTATATTCATCATATTTTTCATTGCCTGTTTTCCCTTCTTGTACTCACAATCTCCAATGGAACCTGATGAATCCATTACAACAGCAGTGTCTTGAAGATAAACTCTTCGTTATTTATGAGAGAAGACGGCAGACGAAAGAATTTCTATACAATTTTATCTGCTGTCACATTTATTTGAGGAATTTATTTGAATTCTAAAATAAATAGTCGTAGAGCGCAGTTTCCCACATTACCGAAAATCGTTTAAATTCTATGGCGTTATTTATCATAATGGCAAAAAGTTGAGTTTATTCTATCCAAAAGTAACCAGCTGGTACACTACAACAGTATATTTAGCACAAGACAATTTCATAACGTTAACTTACTGTCATAAAACTGCTTATTACTGATCTGAGGTAAAGTGGGATTCGGTGTAGTGGCTCTAATCCAAAATGGTAGTGTACTTTCCACTTATGTTATTCCACATACAAATGCAAGAGTTATCATGGAAAGTGTGGTTGCACAATTCCTGTTAGGACTTGAATGTTGAATTGATATCTCCTAATGATATAAATGAACTTTAAATACTTAATGATTTCCCTCGGCCTCATTCTCGTGCAAAAACCTTCACAAAGTACTTGTTTTAAGTTCATGTTGAAAATCTTTAACTTTAAAGCCTAGTTTTCACTGCAACATAAGCAAAAGAAAGAAACCAAAGCAAAGCAATATTCTCCAGAGGGTAGAGGAAGGAAAAGAAAAGGAATTTGCTTTACAATGTACATTTGTTTCACCTTAATTACGCTTATGTCAGGATCTAGCATTTCTGCTTATGCTTATATGTTGATGATTGTGTTGGCCGCTTCATTGCATTCTTTTTATTTTCTTTTGTCTTTGCTTGTCCTTAGGCTTATGTCCCAAGTGAATGCCATGCTTAAAAGATTCACTTTTAAACGAAATTTGCATTTCGTACTGAGCTACCCTTAATCTACTGTTTGGTTACAAATGTTCCCTGTGACATTCATTAGTTATACGTTCCAGATGTGAGAAAAATGAACAAAAACGTTTCTTTTAATTTGCGTGGTATAAAAACAATAAGTATGTGGTATTTTATTAATAGTGAGCACTAAAACTTGAGCTTTTTACTAACAAACTCAAGCAATCGAGGAATAAAAAACTTATGCATGAAAATGTGTAAACCATTTTCACAAGGAAGAGTATACTTAATGGTAAATAAAATGTCACACAAGCAATTTATTATTACAGGATGTTTAGAAACTCATATAAGAAAAATAGTTTGAATCTTATTTTATAACATGCAATAAATAACATAGAACGGCATGATCTTTATATGCACTAACTTTGGTTTATGTGAAACATGCAGATTTAACTTTATTACTTGAAATTCTGCCAATGCAAATTTAATTCTGTTTGAAAAAAAGTTTTTGTTCTGATACAAGTAAAAAGATGATGACTGGTATAGTGCCACTTTACAGGGCGTGCGTTCAACAATGAGATTCGCCAAACTCATTCTTATAATGATGATTTAAAATAACTGTGGAACGTCGTTAAATAATTGCATGGCTTTACTCATTTTGAGTGTTTTGATTTTGAAGTTTACACTTTTAATAATTTGGAGAAAATTAGCTTAATGCGTGCTCAATTCGATCAACTTCAGCAGAAAGCGATAAACGTTCTATATAGTTTTGTAAATATTTGTCTCGTCGTTACTTGATAACCATGAACAGATTTCAATGAAGATTTATAAATATAGGAACGTAACAAATCAAGACATATTTTGGCCATGGATATTTGCTTTCAGCTATGTACTCAAAAAAACTTATGTGGCTAGATTTACTATGACATAAGCCTACAATAGATAAAGTATGTATGAATCGAATAAAAAAATTACCTGCAAATTTTCACGTTAGCTTTGTTCAACTTTGCAAAATGTAACCACAAGTGTACAGATGTTTTCTTACTCCTTCTTCTATTAATGTTCCTAAGACTGCAACTTGTGGTAGCAAACAACTTTGGTATATACCCCATGCAAAGCATGTAGCTTCCACTTTGCAAAATCATAGACACGAAGCTTACCAAAACAATGCATATAAGCGAAGAAAAAGTTGGAAGTTGTCAGAGGTTATTTACATGATTCGAGGGATTAAATATTGCCAAAACTTCAAGCAAAAAATTAAAGCTATTTGTTGAAACAGTTAATTCTCAAATTAGGCCAAATTAATTCTTTTCATTTTAAATGCTTAGCGTTTTTGTAAAGTCGGAATATTGTAAAAATGCTCAAGATGATTTATCTGATGATAAGTATTTAATCTTTTCCATTTGCCAAAATCATTTATCACTTTGCTGAATCCAATGTACTCGGGCTTATGTAATCAGCCCCTCAGGCCAAAAATTCTTTTTAAGGCTTAAGCTTCAAAGACTGCCAGTATCTAATCAGCAAATACAATAATTTAATGATCTATATTTAAATTCAAACATACTTATTTCATATTGATCACAACTGAAATCTAAATACCTTATAGCTGTGTAAACGCTTCCTTTACAACTTGGTAAATTTTTAGAATAGTCCGACTATTCTACAAAATTATAGTCCACCAAATACAAAACAAAATTTGCTAATAGAATACAATACGCCTGACTTTCAAATTGACGACTGCACCCGGTCGTGAACAGTGCGTGCAAGTCAAGGCATCATTGACTAATAGAAAATATAGTATCAAAGTAACAAAATAAAAAAATGAGTAAGAGGCATAATTAAAATCAAATAAATAAAGATCAGATGGTGCAAGTTGTGCTTATGCCTCCGTAAACAAGAATGCGTTTCAAATAATAACTTCAGATAAAACTGAAATGCAATTCGGACTTTGTAAAAATAATACGTAATTACTCATCATTTTGGTGACCTTTGTACTCAAAATAGATTAACTATTTTTTTAGGAAAATACGCATGTCGCATGGCTCTTTTGACATACCCTAAATCCGTTCCTGATAACAACTGCTGAAAATACTTTTTTGTAGTTTTGTCTCATTCAAATACGTAAGTACACACATGTGCTCGGCTATTAGCTCCCTCAAAAAAATAACTTAATGGCAACTGCTGCACATTTTGTTCGCTTGTATACTTGAGAAAAGACGTATTTGAATATATTTTTGGGCACTCAACATCTTTTCGTGGAAATGGTGAAAGAGATATAAAATAATAAATTAAAACGAACATTAATTATTCGTCTGGGTGTTCCTTTTTTTGGAACAACTTCATTTACCTGATATGTTTTAAACATAAGCAGTTTTCCAGTTGCATAGGGTGGAACACATAATTTTATACATTCAAAAAAATACCACCCCAGTCAATTTCATAAAATCCCACTTAGTATGTTTTTAGTCAAAATACAAGGTTCGTGCCAAGAGACTTCATTACAGAGGTTGTGGAAGGAAGCAATATAATGTCAAAACACATCAATGTTGCTCAAATAATTATAATATTGTCAGAATATTTCAAACATGTCCTGGTGATTGAGTAGTAATTGATGTCTTTAACATATTAAAGATATCTTGTTAACCATGGAAAACGGAGACTTTTAACTAACTTTAATTTAGGTTGAAGACTTATGAAAAATTTTAAACTAATGCTGCTAAAAACTCTAAAAGGAGCTTTTTGTTGATTTTATTGCTATATTTTTAGGAAAGTTTAACTACTTAAAATTTATTAAGCAAAACTGAAACGTATATATTTAAAGCAAAAGGTTTTTCTGATGTGATAATGTGCACTTACTTCGTTAAAATATATTTGGTTATAATGTTAAACAAAACTACATCTTTTTTAAGATGTAAGACAGACTAATTTAACGGTATGTCCTCTTATAAACCACTGTGTAAGAATCACTTCTCGTCAAATATATCTTCATGTTATAAAAATGAATTTACATAAAGGGTGAGGTTACGGAAGCAGTGGCGGATTAAGACTACGTCAAATATATCTTCATGTTATAAAATGAATTTACATAAAGGGCGAGGTCACGGGAGCAGTTGCGGATTAAGACTACATCAAATATATATTCATGTTACAAAAATGAATTTACATAAAGTTTGAGGTTACGGAAGCAGTGGCGGATTAAGACTACGTCAAATATATCTTCATGTTATGATAATAAATTTACATAAAGGGCGAGGTTACGGGAGCAGTTTCGGATTAAGACTTCCTCAAATATATCTTCATGTTATAAAAATAAATTTACATAAAGGGCGGGTTACGGGAGCAGTTGCGGATTAAGACTACGTCAAATATATCTTCATGTTACAAAAATGAATTTACATAAAGGGTGAGGTTACGGAAGCAGTGGCGGATTAAGACTACGTGAAATATATCTTCATGTTATAAAAATGAATTTACATAAAGGGTGACGTTACAGAAGCAAAAAAAAGTTCACAAATTTTGGTAAAAAGTTCTTTCCATAAGTCGTTCATAAACTTGAAATGCAGATTTTAAACCACTTTCCAAAGCACCTTGTATCCACTTCGGGGTAAAAGAAATACCTTCACCAGCAAAATGAACGTTTCCCATAGGCTCCCATAAATACTTAATTTTGAAAAAGATATAATATATACCAATGTTTTTTTTTAAATTGTAAATTGTTATTTTTGAGAATAAAAGTTTGAGTAAAAATTGAAGAAGCTACCATAGATAAACGAAAATTGTCCATAAAATGTTATAAGTTGTATTTCACGTTATTTCTAAGTGTATAAAAAAACAACAATTTTACAGAGATTTTGAGAAAAACGTTGAAAAAAATGCGACGAGCATTTTTACAGTATTATCTTATAAAAAATAATCTCGTTTCTTAACCTGTCACTTCAATTAAAGAATTATGCGTTCCCCATATCATGCGCACCTTATATTTTTGTGTTGAGAAGCTTTCATTGCTTCATACGCTCCTTGATAAGATGGCTGGTTATACCAAGCATGAACAATACACGTTGTCACCATGTCTTCTTTGAATGCCGGATGGATTTCTGCGAGTTGTTTCATCACCTTTTGTTTCACTTGCTCTTCTTTCATAGATCCAAAAAGCAGAGCTTCATTTTTCCATGTGTAGATCAAAACAAGTCCTTCTTTTGTGTTGAGATCTTCCGGAGTGACATAATGAATCTGACCTATGGGAAGTCTTGTCTTAGAAACACCACCTTTGATTCCTTCATTTTCCCAGAATCTCTGCTTGGTCGGAATATAAATTTTTGTTGATTTCACAATAGAAACATCTTCCATAGCTTGAACACATTTTCTCATCGCCAACTGGGATTCATCATTATGAAGCTTTGGTTTGAAACTTATTTGACGCAAAGTATTTATTGGGGTGGAAACAATTACTGCCTAAATAAAAATCAAACAGTTTTCAAAGGGTTTGCTTAGCTTTTATTCTTAAAAACCAGGAAAGTGCACTCTCTTAGGTGTATATAAAACGATATATTTAATTTTTACAGACTATCCATGTCAATGAAAGTGAAAATCATTGAGTTAAAAATTCCTTTGAAAATTGTCATGGTGATTGACAAGTATAACCAGTTCTAAATATTGCTGAAAACTACAATCAGTAAGATAGCTATAATGTAAATGACACAATACGTTTGGGGAGACTTCTCATTAGGTGGCAACCAATGGTTACGATTTTATCTTACCAGGTACTAAATTTTAGGTCGGTATAGTGTCACGTTACGTCAAATACATTCTTCAGGTATGAAAATTCAGTTCTTAGTGCAACATCAAATCAAACAATTACTTTTGGTAAAGTTTCAGGAGACCTGGGAGATAGTAAGATTTCAGAAAACAGGCACTTAAAGATGTCTCAATGGAGACAACCTACAGACCCCACTAATTCCCGGAGAAGACCGGGTTCGCGTTGAAATTATATTCTAAAAGCTAATGCTTGTGCCGTGAATTAAGCTACACGCAACACTCAACTCTTTTTTTGTTTGTTGCGTGATTTTAAGTAAGGTGTGCCAACGCACTCAACTTGTCGAGCTTTAAAATCCTGGGATAACATACGTTTCAGTGACCAGCTAAAAATTCAACTATTTTCCTTCCGACGCCCTTATTCAGCATATGCGCTTCACAGTGCGCATGTTCTAAAATAGTAAAGAATGGTGCTCAAACGCAATGAACAATGTTGAGATACGGTTCGGGGTTCAAAGAGCTATAGAGTTAATTTAAAAGCTGTAAACTGAAGTACTTCAGAGACAATGCAATTTAAAATCGAATGATTTTTCCTTAGACGACAAACAACTAGTAAAAGCAGTGTACAAACCCTGTAGAGCTAGACGGATAATGTAATCGCATAGGATGCGAACAAAAAGCAAAGGCAAACTGCCCTCATACCAGTAGTAAGGAAATTTTTGTCACAATTGAGGCCTTATAACTATTATATACAAAATTGTAGCTATTTGAAAAGAAATATTGCACAGAAACCAGCCATACATTTTTGAAAAAAGTGAAAAAGACCAACAAAATAGAAGTATCAACTATCCTTAAAGGGGAAGTCAGAGCTCGGAACAACTTAGGCTCAAATGAAAGAGTATTGTATTATTACTTTGCATACCAAGTCTAAAATCTTTACGTTAAATACAACTCGAGAAATAAAGCAATGAAACTGCGTTATTTTGCAAATATAAATGTACATCCGAGCGAACCTGCGATCAAGCAGCGGAATTACATCGTTACGTCACTGCGCGACTCTGTAATCGAGCAATTTCGAAGAGAATAGAATAGATATTTTGTCTGTCAATTTTAAAGTCTTCTAGGTAAATGGCGTATTTAAACGATTCTTCGAGCGATATTTTAACCTGTTCTAACTTAAAAGATGGTAAAGAAATTTCAAAGATAAATGGAGGGTTTAAATATTATACTTTTGAACTGGTTAATGAAACGGGGACATATTTTTCTGACATGCTAAGACGAAAGCAGAAAATATGTGTATTGAAGATTCTAATTCAGAGTTTTAACGACACCACAATTTTCGAGGTATTTGTATATTTCTATATTACATTTTATATATATATATATATGTACTCTTTTATCTGGTTCACCATATTTACAGTCCTCGAAATCACAGTTTGTTTATTAAAGAATTGTATTAATATGTAGGCCGTGCCCACATACTTGGCAGTCGCGGAAGATTATTATTTAAGTGTTAGATAACCGGTTGTGTAACTCTCCGCTACTTAAGAAACTGTTCCCACTTTGTTTTTCTGTTTTAGTACACGGTATTCTGTGTTGTAAATTGTAGGTAAATCGTAAAACCTTGCTGTTGATGCCATCTTCAATTTCTGAATTTCAAAGCGCTGTTGCTAACTTATACTTACACCGAACCTTATTCTAACCATAATTACTACAAAGCCCACGATGGCGTAAAAAATTACTGGCAACATGGTAGCTATTTCTCAAGTAACGGGAGCAACATGCTTCAAATTGCCATGTGGCACTAGCTATAGAATAGCATGTTAATTATCTGCACGACTGACAAAAGTAGGACATAAACTCCTAGTTTTATGTATAGTAATAATAATATAAACAATCACTAGCCAAGCTAGCTTGCAAATTTGTCCTGTGATGTTAATTTCTTAGCTTTACCATTATTAATTTCTTTAGAACCAAATTTGCAGGCTGGCTTTGTCTCATATGTAGCTATAATTTGTTCAATTGCAAAGATTACATTTTGTCAGAGTAATAAACTATAGGATACCTGGCTTGACTGTTTCTTTTGTAGCAGCTAGTTGTTTGCTGTCATATTATCATTTATTAAATACTTAATTGACTGTTTACTTGGCCTATATAAAAGCCAGGTCTGTCTAGTCATTCTCTAACAAGAAAAATTTCTGATATTTAAAATTGCCAGGTATTCTATAATTTAGCCACACCTATGTGTGTATTTCAGCCATTCGTGATCGGTGTGCTGCTATCACTTCTTTTGCTTGGTCTTGGAGTAGGTGCAATATTCTTTGGAAGTTTAACATGCTTGTCTGATGGTTGAGGATTCATGTCCACATTGAACTCTACCACATCATCCATCAGTTGCAGTACAAAATCAAAACACTTTTTCTCCAACACTGGTTTCACTATCCATTTTTTACGTCCTTTTGGGAAGACCACCTTATACCTTTTTTCCCCTTCTTCCTTACCTCTGGTGACTGTTGCTTGCCTCCTTCCAGTGTTGGAGTTGTGATCAATCACAGCTAGTTGAGTACGGGCCACCATTCCCTTGTATGAGAAGTGTTTACGTTTTGATACATATTTTAGCAGCAAGGAATGGTAGACCTCAAGGTTGCCAGTATGGTGAAATTCTGTAAGCTGTTGTACATCTTTTAAAAGCTTTCTATTCAGAACAACCTCCTCCAATGCTATATGTGGGGCAGATCCAGCCTGCAACCATTTTGTTTTTCTTTCTTTGTTTTTAGATAAAGGGCCATGTGCACATTTGCAAAAATGTTTGCTATTTCTCCAATTATGTTTGTTGACTATATGATGTAAAATGGACACCCATTTCTCATGGAGCACTTCAGCATTTCCCTGACAACTTTGTGCACACCACCAAAGGTGATTGGATACAGACTGAATCCACTCTAGTAGCTCATGATTTTTTTTTTTCTTTGCCTTCTCTGTCAATTTTTTTGTCACCCACTTTGAGAGATGCCAAACATCATATTGGTGCACTATGGAAGGGTACCTCTTTCGCATTTCAGAGGTTATTTGAATGTGGCGGTCAGTTGTCAATGATCTCACTTTCACACTTTGCTCAATGACATTGTCAAGTGCTCTTTGGCATCCTTTTTTTCTCCATTGCATTAGAGGATGAAACTTCAGAGACTTGAACAAGAGAAAAGTCAATAATTTTCTCTGAAGTTTCATCCATTAAGGAATATGTACCATATTTTGCGCTATGACCAGGACTGTCTGATCTACCATCACCACATAAGTCAACCGGTTTCATTTTGTTTTGATGGTTTCAATAATTTCTTTTGTTGTTTTTATAGACATTGTCAATGACTGGGAAGACAATCTTATTTTGAACTTCATAAAACTGATCTTTATTTACAAAGTTTAAATTAATTGCATTTGCAAATTGCTTGGTGGCTTCATAGGTTCCTCCAGTCATGATAGTTGCAGCAGGAATTAAAATATTACCTGCTGGTTTATTGTGCAAATATGGTTGAGACTTCCACTGGTAAGTATGATTATTGCTACATGTTGTTTTTATGGCAACCATACTACCAATATGGGACTTCTCAATCTCACAAAGAGAACCACATATTCTACATGTTGCGAACAGCTTATCAAGCATGCTTTCAAAGACAATGAATTTTCTTTGATTTTTTAGTTCCTCACCTTCAGATTCCTCATCTGTATCTAGTTCCTCAAGATAGGTATAATCATCATCACTATCTGATGCAGCAATATCATCACTGCTTCCTAAAGAGATTTCTGAATCAGATGATATAATAGGAGTTGTTATGATAGGAGTTGTTGTGTTAGGAGTTGTGGGAGATGTTACTGGTTTTGGTGTACGACTTGAAGAAACTGCATTTAAAGAGGGGGCAACATTTTTTGAAGCGTTTTTATTTTTTAATGGTTTCCTTTTTCTTTGTGCAAGAGTTTGTATGGCAACTGTCCTTTGTCTTGGTGTATCACACTGTGCTTCTGCATCAATGAAAACTTTTGGCTCACATTGAATCTGGGCATCCTTGGACAATGGACTGGGAGGCTGATCTTCAATGCATGTTGCAAGATTTGTATCTTCATCTAGTGATTGTATTATGCTTCTAACTTCCTACAAAATAGTCAAACTTCTCAACCAAGAGAGTACAAAGCTAATTGTTTAAAGAACAGTTCAATAACTTCAAATATATTCTATATGGTTGCAATATCCTATTTACCTCATGTCTTGCAATTCTATCTCTCATTTGTTCTCTTCTGTGTGACATTTTTCGCTCGGGTTTACGATTTAAAAATGGAAATATCGATGGTACACTACTAGGTTTTAATATCTTTTTCGATTTCATGCCGAATATCTCCATTAGAGAAGTACTAAAGCAATCTGGGGTGAAATGGTCGCTACATACGTAACATGAATTTGGCTTCGGTATATTATCACGACGAACCCGTGCAAGCCATATTTTTTTGCATTGTTGGGTCGTTTGGCAATCGATGATACGATACATCGCTACCTTTTGTTTTTCTAGATCCGTTAGTGCAATTAGGCACCATGCAATGTGGCATTGTTCCGAAATATTTAAAGTAAACAAAGTAATTGTAATTGTGTCGCTTTTCCTGATATGTTGTCTATTTGAATATATATACGCTCCCGCGAAAGCGCGCAGTGACGTCACGAGACTTTACCGCTGCTTGATCGCAGGTTCGCTCGCATGTACATAATAGCTGATACAAAATATACAAAATTTCGTGGTTTCATCGCTTTATATCTCGACTTGTATTTAACTAGAAAATATAATATTTGGTATATAAGGTAATAAAAATATAATCTTTCATTTGGGCCAAAGTTGTTCCGAACTCTGACTTCCCCTTTAAACTATTCATACTCGATGTTCAATTTACTAATCTCTCGTACCTTCGCATTATACACATTTAACGCAACGTTACTTGAATAACACGACACCTCAACGAGATCTTTCAGAGGATACTCATCTTGATACCAGTAATTTATTTCGAAAACATGTTTCTTGTATTCTATGTCATCCGTACTCAATCCTTCATCGTTGAAAAACGATTTCGGCAAACTATGCATACCTCCTTTCAAGCAATGCATTTCATGAGAATACCATTTTCCCAGTTCAAAATCAAGGTAGGATACCAGTGACTGATCAAGCTGCTCCGTATAGCAAAATACAGAATAACCACGAACAGCATCATTAGACCATGGCAAAAGATTTCCAAGTTTAACTAAATCCAAGTGTGCTTGATCTTCAACAGGTACTTTAGCTTTGATTACATCGATATTACTTTTAAGAAACCTTTCCAACGTAAACTGACTTCAGATTTTAATCCAACGTCCCCATGCATTGACTTGATCATGTACACTTTTTGATTTCGACAACCAAGTTTAAAGCTGGTCTGTAAGAGCACCGATTGTTTCATCATAATATTTTTCTGCAAAAAAATAGAGCAAGTTTACTAAGCCCTAAGCTAATAGCCGAGGGCGAGGTCTTTACGTAGAACTATCCGACCGAGGTCTTTATGCACAGACCGAATCCGCAGAGCGAGGTTTGTACAAAAAGACAGAGGTCTAATATTTCTAAGCAAAGACCGAGAAAGTGAGGTTATTAAAGTTTATTATATGGCATTATTTGACCTGAAGAGAAGTTGCTTTCTTTCTCGTCTTTGCTGTTTTGCTTCGACTCACATTCGAAAATATTTTTTTGCTTCGTTTTTTTTTCATTTTGCTGTTTGCTTTACAAAGTTCGTTTCCATTTGATTGCAAAATTACGCATTTTGGAACGTGGCCCATTACGTAAAATAATGGACCGGCAAAAATGTTTCTGAGCGAAACAAAGCGCGCCATTTTGCTGGAAGTGACGCTTGGCATGTATAATAACTTCAATTAATCATGATTAAATGTCATTGCTCTCAATTTATAGAAAATGCCTCCAAGATTTCTCATTTCCAGAAAAATTCTTGCAAGAATAAAATAAAACAATATGGCGATTTTCAGGAAAAATAGATTTTTAATAAAATTGAAGAAATTAAGGTCTCGTTACACTTACCAATATCCAAAATATCGTCTTTTAAGGCATTATTCATGCAATCTTTCCAGTTCGGCCAAATGTTGTCAAAATGCTTCTCAGCCCAAACTGCAATGTGAAAACACGCCGAACGTCAAGTGGTTAATTTATTATCCGACAATGAATTATTAACCTGGACGATCATCATTTACAAACATGTAATGATTTTTTTGGTGACCTAACTCTCCTTTCTTTTTTTCTTTTTTTTTTGCCATGCATGCAAATGAATTGTTGCAATAATTCATTTGTTTTATACACTTCACCTTCAGATTTCTCGTGAAACCCATAGATGCAGGTAATGACATTTTTGTCAAAGTTAGGAAAAGGTTTTATGGACAGATTGAAACTCTTGATGTAACCGTCCGACAAAAAATGCGGTCTGTCTGATTAATCATTAGCATCACCTGGAAATCGCATAGCCCCCACTAAAAAAATAGAACAGTTCATTTTTTTCAAAACTGTAAGATTCGATGCTACAATTTTTCTTAATTTTCTGAGGAGATTCATCAACTAGAATATCAAAGTATTTAAATTTTAAAGTTTTTAATGGTTAACATATTTTGGCGTATGTGTTGGTTGCGTAACTTGCTCATGCATGCTTTTGTATACTTCATCATTACTAGATGAAAGACTGACCATGTCACTAGAGTCTTTGTGTTTGAGACATTGTAGAGAATTTGTGTATGAAACAAATGATAAGAGCAAAATATCAATGAAAGTAACAGTTATTTTTTGGCGTGTTGATGACACAAGTCCTAACCTTGAAATGAAAAAAAAGGTTGTTGTCACGAAAGCATAAAAATGGGGCAGTTCAGCAATGGAAAAAACTATGGTCTGATCAATCAAAATTTCATTTGTCTCGTTCATATGAGTTATTTGTCGTGCCTATACGTAGTTTAGCATTTGGGAGATTCTGTAATGATATTGTGGTTTTTGGGGTAATCTTGGGGAAGGAAAATCGGCTGACTGCAGAAATGAATACATATTTTAGAAAAGAAGCAATACCACTCTATTTTGCAAAGAGACGCAAATACATCTGGAAGAAGAATCATAGAAAACTACTTCATTGCACAGCAGAACAGTGACCAAAATAAAACGCACTTCTAAAAATCCCATGTAGCTAAATAGCCACACCAAGATATTTGGGTCATAAAAAAACTCCTTTACCTCAAGTCCTTTCGTATGCAAAATGTATAGATGAACCGAAAATTCAAAACAAAGTCTTTGAACTTTGTTGTCACAAATTTCACTTAAAAGACCAAATTGCTGTATACATGTTTTGTATTTTCGACTACAACATTTAGGATAGTTGTTTTGATAGTTAAAAATGATGTAGCTAAACATCTAATGACAAAACGGAATTATAAACAGTTATGAATTGGGTGGATTAAGATTCTTGCCAAATTAAAGTTGTAATAAATTGGAACAAGTTTATCCATACCTTCTGCATACAAACCAGACGCAAGACCACTTTCTTTACCATACGTAAAAATTCTTCCCCCATAACGGTCCGTTTGCTCTAAAACTGTCACAGAAAGACCAGCTTTTTTCAATTCATACGCTGCACTTAAACCTGCCATTCCTGCACCAACAATAATGACGTCACTGATTTTTTCATCTTCAGTAGCATTGATAACAGATCTTGGAAGTTGTGTTTCACGTGGATTATATCTGTAACGATTGTAAGCTGTTTGCAAACCTTCCTCTTGAATACATTTCAGAAACGTTTTGATTAATTCACTTAGCTGAATTGGAACTTGATTATTTTCAGGACGTTTTAAAGAATTGTCATTTTCCCAAAATCTTTTACGAGTTTTAAGATATTCTGACGCCATGGTGTACTTCTTGATTGGACAAAATAAAGAGTTTTAATGACTAATGAGTGCAAGGATACTTATTACTTTATGCATATTGGAAGTATACATACGGGACAAAAATTTAGTTTTTCGTTAAATGATCGTCATTTTCAATTATCGAATAACCACAATAAAATGAGTGCGCTGATCGGTCTATACTTGGGTTATTATTAGCCTGTGGAAAACAAATCTGAGCTAAAGTCATTAAGCCGAAAAACAATCCATTAAGTCTCTGGTACGCAAACTTAGATTTCTCCCGCCATAAAACCAACAGAATGTAGTAAAAAATCTTTGCGGGGCATTTTACGTTTGGTTTGAGCTTCAACCAATTCTTATTTGGTATTACATATGTTACAATGTGACCATGATTTTGCTATAAAATAACTGCCCAGCTGGGATCTCCGCGTTTATTCAATTAAGAAATACATGGCAAAGTTAATACTTCAACAAAAATGTATTGCCAAAAATTCATCAATTAATCTCATACTTATACTAACTCTCAAGGTAAACAAAAGTTTCTACAGAAAAGAAGTGATTAATCTACTACGTCTGGCTTTGGATCCTCCCACCCCCACCCTCCCTCCCAATTCAAAGGATTGCTGTACTTTTTAGATTTAATAAAGTGAATATCAAAAGTACACAAGATTTTTAGGCTTTCCTTTTGAAATTCGCCCCGGTCACATTTCACCACGAAAAAATTTATTATTTAATTGTTCAAATAGAAAGTGATGGTAAGGTGTAAAACATGTTGGTTTCGTTTATTTCAAAAATTTTGAGCGCTGCAAGGCTAAGCGCAAATTGTCGTCAATGAACTTGTTGGAAAATCACTGCCTCGCGTCAACAAAATTACTGCGGCCTTCAAAGAAAAAAATTACGACTTCGTGCCCTCTTATGTTGTGTGTATTTTAACTTGAAATTAATAAATTTGGAAAATATTTATTCATTATAATTTTTGCATATATAAAAGTTATGTTTGGTTTGATTTCAACTTGAAGGTGTTTTGACTTCAAAATTCATCCAAGAATAAGTTGCAATGTACATTCTGTTGCTCTACATTTGCTGCTCTGAAATGTTTTATTAAGCACGCTATTCTTTTATGAAAGCTGCAAAGTTTAAAACAAATGCTGTAGTGTAGAAGTGGGATAAAGGTAGGGCAATTGGTGGAGTAAGGGGAGGGGGAGAAAAAAGCCCCGTTACACAAGATCTGAGATTTGGTGTTGTATTCTCATTTAGGTGTCGATGCTGTTCCTCATCGTATATGGGTCAAACCACACGTCATTTGCACATTAAAATATCGGAAATCTTGGGAATCTCTCCCTTAACAGGGAAACTTCCTCTTGTCCACCACCGTCCACAATTCTTTCCCATATAAGAAACACATCTCACTCTGCCGATTTTAATGACTTCTCAATTCTGTCTTCTTCCTAATACAATTATGACATTATGATTCACGAAAGCCTTCTCATATCTAAGCTTAAGCCCTCTCTTAACACCCAAGGTAACTCAATCCCCCTTCACCTCCTTTAATATACTCTCCTTTTTATTTTATTCCGTCATCTGAACTTTCTACTCTCCTCATATGTAATTTAACACCTTGTAAATATATGCTTATATTTAAAGCCTCATGCAAAAATTTCTATAATTTAATCTGAAGATGCTTTAACATTGGCATCAATCCTGTGTTTATTAGGGGATGGGGCAACATATTCATATATTCTGCTATGCCTGGCCTAATTTCTTTTCAAAACAATATCACTTTCAAAAGAAGTCAGCCTGGCATCACAGAATATATGAATATGGTCCTCATCCAATTATCGCAGGATTGGCGCCAATGTGTCTTAAGTTAACGTCATTATTAAAAAACCTTCATTTATTATTTCTGATTTACTATCGTGATGGACTTTTTATAATTCATATGTAGAGCTATTATGTTCATAATGAAAATATTATTGCTAGTTTTGCTAGTTTAATTTGAAAGGCTGTCATTACTGTTTTAGAATGATAGTATTCTAGTAGCAGTACAGTAATAGAATTTAGTATACAACTATACATAATGTTATAAATAATGTTTTCGTTACTGTGTCAAAAATTACAATCATTTATAAATTATAAGCCATTGCAGCAGACTCATTTTCTTCACTTTCAGAGCTTGTCACGAATAGCTTGGTATGAGTGTGTGTAAGTCTATTTCAAACGTATATTAAAATAGCAGTCGTTCCTTGTAAGACTTGTGATCTTTCATCTATGAGTCATTTCAGTGAAACATTGTGAACATATACGATAATGTCAAACAACGCTGTCGCGTATTTCTTACAATTTCATGGCTTCAGTCTCGTCAAAAGAGCACCCTCCCTCTGATAAATTTAGTTCTTTAGAACTGTTTATAATTTTTCTTTCACTTCAAAATAATTTACAGCAGTAAATGATGAATTTCCAATCTTGTCATTTTGCAGGTTGATTCTGGCATACTGCAGCTATATATTATCAGCAGTTGATGTGGGGTATGTCAAAACATATAAAAGAAGCTCATTTTCAATTTATAAGACTTTTTTAGCAACGCTGTTGGTTGGAAATTTGTGAAGAATATTTAATACAACAAAACTCCCAACAGGATATGCTCAAAATATTTGAAAATGGAAAGTGTGTCCAGTTATGTATTCTGACCATCGCAAGATCTGACTGTGTTTACTATATAGTGACAGCTGTGACAAAGTTTATATGCTTTCAAACGACAAAATAAAAGTTCCAGGAAATATTGCAATTCTTGACTTGAAATTTAATTATATTGGTGATCTGGTACAAAAAATATTCACTGTTATTCTGAGATTCATATTCAGATATTCAAATATATCACTGTTATTCTGAGATTCAGCCAAAATGAGCATGCATTGGTTAATAATTAAGCACCCATAGGTTGGTAGGTTGGTTGCAAGTCAAGATTTCATTTCCTCACCGCATGTTTTTAACTTGTTTCTTAGTGTCAATTAATGTCGATTCTCCAATTAAGATTCAAACTGCCTTTTCTAGTATGAAGTGTGATTGGCTCTATTTAATTTAAACTGTACTATGTGCAAAACATGCTTGATTTCGTCGAGACATATTATTTATACTAACGGCCTTAATCAACTATAATTGATGAAAACTTTGAATTTATTCCCAATTCATGCAAATTTCAACAATATTACTTTCACAAACCTACAGCTGTTGAAAATATCGCCACCAAACCGACCAAAATTTAGTATCATTATGTCAATGTAACAACACCGCCATTTTTTGCATTCAATACTTCATGTAACTTCTACTATTACTGAAACATTTCGGAAATTTTCAGCAAAAGGAAATTAGAAAATTCCCGCCTTGGCACAGGACAGGCAACAAAATTTTATTTGTAAGAGGATTAGTTCACGCTCATTTACAGGTTGAAACTTTCCAATATTGTATGTGCTAACTGTATGTATGTGTAACTAAACATGAAAAAAGTGTGAACAATTTGCATATATATCTATAAAGAGTTACTATTTGTTATGCTTCTCTAATTTTTGCGAATAAGGAATGATTCAAGTAAGCGCGTTTCGACATTTTTTGTTTTCTATTGTTATATATTTTTAGGTGTTTTATTTAAAAAGTCAACTAATATAGAGAGTTATAAGAAAGTTACATTGTAAAAGATGTCTAAAAAACGTATAGTCAAAGAGGCAGCGGTTTTTTTAACCTTTGCAGTATCCTTGGATGTTCTAGTTTCTCTTATGAGATAAACAAAAAGACATAATTCAAGAGCAAAAACCTCGTTTTCGGTCCATGCTTCCCGATACCTTCTTAAGCGTAAGGCACTAGAACGCCGCATGTTAACGTTTCGGTTAAAGATCTCCACCCCTTTACGCTATCATACTTGGGGATGCCAATACGCAGCAAACTTCCGCCCATCAGACCCAGAGATAACCTGCGATAGACTTTGCTCGGGTACGCAGGAAGAGTGCGGTCGCGACCGAAGTCTGTGCCTCTAAGCCACTGCATACTATATTGCACCCAGCTTCCACTGCTAGTTGACATCTACTATAGGAAGTTTTAAATTTATATATATTGCGATTAAGTGAGCTAATTGCCACAAGTGATGTGCAAGTACATATAGTTAGTCGTTGCCATGAATATGAACAATCATTCCAGTGGACTGAGCATGCTCGAGCGCATGACCAGATGACGTCTCTATTAAATTGTTACTAAGCATGCTATTTACTTAAAAATCAGTTCTAGTAGATGCAATTGGCCGTTGCCATGACCGTGAAGTTGGGCAGCTAATAAACTCGACTGCTCACGCTTAAACAGACTGCGCATGCGCAAATGATTTATCTAAAAATTTGTGACTGAGCGAGATAACTATTCCATAATCGATATTAGTACATACAGTTGATCGTTCTCAATTAACTTGTGACCGAGCCAGCTCTGAAATTGGTGCTTGTATATGCGCTAAGCAATTTTTCATTAATGTATTTTTGGCATGCTCTTTGTCTCTTAAGCTTGTTTTAACAAATCATATCAAATTTATCAACACATTGTCACGCCACTCGTAATATTCTTAACAATGTTAGATATGTTTTTATTTTCTCCATAACTTTGTATCTGCATATTTTGTCCATAAACAAAGCTCCAATATTTATGACAGATATTATAATTCGTGGATTGAGGTAGAACACATACTTGAAAATGAAACTTCCAACAGTGACACAAAATCAAGCAAGACTGGGGAAAAAGAAAGATGCCAGTTTGAAGAAAGCTTGATGAAATTGAACGTAGTAGAAAAAGCTTGTCGAAATTTATGAAAAAGTAAAACATATTTATTTTTTTAATTTACTTCATTTACTTGGATATTTAACTAACTTTAATGCAATTTCGTCCTCTTTCAATGATGTGTATCTCTATAAAGTTCACCTCCATATATTAACAGGTTTCTTCCATTATTCCAATTTATCAACTTTAACTAAGAAAATTAATCGTTGAAAAAACTGAAACATTTTCAAATAAAAGAACAAAAATTATAAAAACTTTTAAAATATGATTTAATTTTGAAAAGACAAATTACTTGAAATGCGAACACAGAAAAAGAAAAGTGTGTTGAAAATGTTATAAATCAGTACGTCAATGGCCAAGTACATGAAACTATAAGTTAGACTATAAAGGTTTTCATAAATAGTGGACACAAACTTTAATTTCAATTACAGAAAAACTTCACAATGTATGGTTCCAGGTTCTTTCCATATGTCGTTCATAAACCTGAAATGCAGCTTTTAAACCACTTTCTAAAGCACCTTGTATCCACATACGGGTAAAAGAAACTCTTTCCCCAGCGAAATGAACGTTACCCATCGGCTCCCATAAATGCCTAATTGTGTAAAAAAATATTATGTATGTTAGGTAAAAAGTAGTTTGATTAGAAGTCTACCATATATAAAGATGAAATTTCCCATATTTCTCAAACACTTTTACAAATATAAGAGCAAATTGTTAAAACAAACAACAAATGTTGTCAAATTGCGCTACAAAGGGCCATTTGTTTTTTGTACGTTAAGAAAACGAAAATAAAATTATAATTTTCTTTTCGTTTTTCTTGTTTTGTTGCGCCAATCTCTAAAAAACCAATTTCAAAATTGAATTTTTGTGTTCTGGAGAGTGTGACATTGTAGTCCTAGTTATAATACGACTGAAGTGTTTACTTTGAAAATCAGAGCATTAATTTAACCAAAAGCGTACATTCAAAACAATGACTTGCAAAACTTCCTTGTATCTGCGAGGTAAAACGACGGGACATTAATTTAATCAAATGCGTACATTCAAAACAATGACTTGCAAAACTTCCTTGTATCTGTGAGGTAAACTGTAAAATATAAATACAACACAAAGTGTAAAATAATAAACTTTCTTCTCTTGATAGATTCATATATTCTCCTTAAATCATCAAATATCGATTCGTTAATACTATGTCATCGACAAGTAGAGTCTGTTAGGACTTTGCTGCATCAAAAAGTGTAGTGTTCCTAGCTAGCAACGTGATGATTATAAAACTCGTGTTCGCTTGCTTTTGTTTACCACAAAAGAAACATTCTTGATTCTAAAGTTTTAAATGAAGTTTAAAACGGGCTCAACGGAGCAACAACGTTTGAAAACTACATCGTGCGTTGACCTTGCACGGTGAACCATCAAAGCTGCGGTCCTGCTATTTCTGCAAAACCTTGCTTTTATATGGGGAATATGCAGCTAAGCGTTAATGAGATGTTTAATCTTTTGCTGATACTTGAATTTAATATTGGTTGTGCAGAGGTTGATAAAACAAAAAAAAACCCCGATTTTTATTTGCGTTTTTAAGGAGGAGAAAACAAAAACTAAAAGTAAATGTTTTTTAGTTTTTCTAAAGCGTTAGAAAAAGAATGGCCCTTGAAGAAATTGTAAGAAACAGGAAAATAGCAAATTGAAGACAAAATGAATTAGCCCCCTACTATTTACGTATTATTCAATTATTCAGATGTGATAAAACCGGGAATTTGAACCATTTCAAAAAAAAAACATCAGAAAAATTATGGCAAAATCGTGTCGCATTATTGTGCTTCATCATATAGCTGAGGTTAGCAACCAAAACAAATATTATCTCGTCTCGTTGTTCTTTTATTTTAAACTAGAAAGTACTGTAGTTCTTTTCTCCAGACAGTAGAGACTACTATTTCTAAAGGAGTTCTTTTTTATTTGAAAAAGAAATAAGTTGTTGGGGTCTTGCTTGTCTACAAATACGTTTGTAAAAAAGTACTGTTTACCCCGAAATTTTCGCACCTAGTACTTTCGTAATGAGATGTTTTCACTGCTCCATACGCTCCTTGATAAGATGGCAATAAAGGTTGTCACCATGTCTTCTTTGAAGGTTGGATGAATTTCTTCGAGTTGTTTAACTACTTTCTGTTTTACCACTTCTTCTTTCATCGACCCATAAAGCAGAGCCTCCTTCGTCAAAGTGTATATCATTAAAAGCCCTTCTCTTGTTTTGCAGTCCTCCGGGGTGACGTAATGAATCTGGCCTATGGGAAGATTTGTCTTTGAAAAACCACCTTTGATTCCTTCATTTTCCCAGAATCTTTCTTTGGTTTGAAGAAAGATTTTTGTTGAATGCTGATTAAAAACATTTCCCATTGCCTTGACGCTTTTTTTTATTGCCAACTGGGATTTAATATCACCAAGCTTCGATTTGAATTTTATTTGACGCAAAATGTTTATCGGCGTGGTAATAATTACTGCCTACGAAACAACAAAATACAAGTACAATTGCGATTATTCATTTTATGAACAAGAGCACACACTGTAGATTATGTAAGAGGATAGTATTTTCTATTCAGATTTCAGAGTTATCATGAAAAAGTTTACGATTACCCAATGGCTAACCAATAGTTTAAATACATTGTAAGATTAATTCAATTAAATGATATCACTAGAAGACACGCTCAGACATTCTTAAGAATCACGTCATTATACTTATTTGTGAAAATGGTGCTTCTATAGAAAAATCTTTTAAAATGGAAGAAACATCAAAATATGCACTGTACAACTTAATTGTTAATAACTCTATATGAAAAATTAGAAGGAAACACATTTGCAAGCCAAAATATAAATAATAATCGAAAAGTATATAGACAGTTTCAGGAGACAAGCATTGCACAAAAAAACAAACAAATATTAGAGAAAGACTTCATGATTTTCAAATTTGGTGTCAGGTGAACTTATGAATAACGCAAAAAGTTTAATTTCCTAAACTTACCTTTGCCTTAAACACACTTGGTGCATCATTGATAGAATAACATGACACCTCCATGACATCTTTCTGTGGATATTTTTCTTGATACCAATAATTTATTTCATACACTTGTTTCTTGTATTCTATGTCATCTTTAATCAATATTTCATTGTTAACAAACGCTTTGGGCAAATTATGCATACCACCTTTCAAGCAATGCATTTCACCAGATGCCCACTTTCCCAGTTTAAAAGAAGGAAAGTGGACTAGGGACTGTTCAAGATCGGACACATAGCAAAATACGGAAAGACCACGAACGGCATCGTTAGACCATGGCAAAAGGTTTTCAAGTTTGATTGCATCCAAATCTTTCTGGTCTTTAACAGACACTTTAGCTTTAATCACATTAATATTACTTTCCAAAAAGCTTTCCACCGTGAACTGACTCCAAATTTTAATCCATCGAACCCAAGCGTTGACTTGATCAACGACACTCTTGGAATTTGATAACCAATTGTAAAGCTGGTCAGTGACTACATCTGTTGTTTCTTTGTAATATTTGTCTTCAAAAGGAAAACAAAGAAGTTATGTTTTATTCGTGCTCATGGTCCAACACAATCATATCAAACAGTTATCAACTTGCCTTGTAAATAGTCTCATTTTATGGCTGACTTATAAAAACTGAAGATAAGATTCATTAAAGTTACAGATATCAGTAATATCTCCTTTTAACTCTTCATTTATACCATCTTTCCAATTTGGCCAAGTTTTGATGAAATGTTTCTCACACCAAACTAAAAACAAATCAAAAAGTATCGTAGCACATTCTATAAAATTTAATGACAATGAAATAAAAATAAATAGCTCTATTAACAGTGTATTTAGAAGTTAAGGTCATTGTCATAACTGTTAGCTAACTGCCCATCAACTGGTGCAAACAGGTAGCTACAAGGGCAAGCTATGACTTTTGAATATTCTGTATTGAAGAAATAGAGGTTATAACCATTTCAGGTACATCCTTTTACTTCGCAAAAACATTTAGAATTTTATTATAAATTTTTTGTATTTTCTACTTTTAAAAAAAATTACCTTCTGTTTTTTCGCGATATCCATAGATACTAGAAACGACATTTTTATCGTAATTTGGAAAACGTTTTATTGATAAATTAAAGTTCTTGATGTAACCATCTGTCAAATAATGTTGTCTCTTAGATTGCTCGTCGGACTCGCCAGGAAGTCGCATAGCCCCAGCTAAACAAAGAAAAAAGAATTCATCTCTTGTACAAACTATTAAAAGGCATGTATATATAATAGTGTTTAGTAAAGCTACATGACACTCTTATTTGAGTAAACTCGTGATTTCAGTTGTAAGCATAATTCTACTTCATTGATTTTATCAAAGCTTAACATTCAATTGAAAAAGAGTCAATTTAAGATGAGATAAGTTGCCATCTTGGCTTTCCTTATTTTTCATTGTCAATGCGAAAGTAAACGGTTGTACATATGTTTCATGACATCGCCCTCATCACAGTTGTGCATTATACTTTTGATTTAAAATTTTTAAAAACATATATAAAACTTAAACAATTTTAAACAAATGATAAGGACTAATGTAAGCATCTCAAAAACTTTGTTAAAGCTATAAACGTAAAATGCATAACACTGAGCAGGTCAACAAATCCTGTGACGGGTACCATCTTTCTCGTGAGTTTTTTAAATTTTTACGTCTACAGAAGCGTACTAGCAATAATCCAATAATTGTTTAATTTGTTTTAGATGAAAATAAATTTCTAAAGCTAATATTTTTAATTTTTTTTTTGCTTTAAGATTCTGTAAGTTAAGAAGTATTTATAGCGCATACTAATTTCTACTTTGGAACAAAAACGTTTCAGTTTTTCCCATATCTACAGACATGCGAAAACAAAAAACTATAGGAAAATACCTTCTTGTTATGGGTAGCTATAACTTCACAGGAAAATGTAACTGTCGAAAAATTTTGTACATTTGATGTTAAATCACAAAAAGGAAGTTGTGTTTTATTTATAAAATGAAATTGGTATATGTCATTTTTAACTTCAACCTATTGCTCAGCGCCCCATTCTAAAAATGCTAAACCAAAATAAGTTGAGAACACGATGGCGTCCTCAACGCAGTTCTCTTCGACATTTAGACGCCGTTGTCGTTTTGTTTTATTTTGGCTGAAAATTTTTTCTATTTTATTGTAACTTTCACGTGCCTCAGTTCACTCCGAACTTTCTTCTACGAAACCCATCTGCCACAAATGCAATCCTAATAATATTGAGCAAAATTTTCAAAACCATGTTTGGTGTTGACACCTTGTACTTAAATAGCATATTTAGCAATTTTACATAAACGTCAAAAAGTGGTCTTTTCAAGAGTTAATTCAACGAATTTCAATAAATCATTTAAATAAAACGATATTCAATTTAAGCATGCAAACAACCTTGGCTAATCAACTCACACCTTCTGCATACAAACCAGACGCAAGACCACTTTCTTTACCATACGTATAGACTCTTCCACCATAACGCTCTGTTTGCTCAAGAATTTTCAAAGAAAGACCAGCTTTTTTCAACTCGTACGCTGCAGATAGACCTGCCATTCCTGCACCAACAACGATGACGTCAACCATAGTTTCATCTTCTTGTACAGCACTGACAACCGAGGTTGAATGACTGGATTCCTGATCCTTGTATCCGTAACTATTGTAAGCTTTCTGCAAACCCTCATCTTGAATACATTTCAGAAACGTTTTTATGCAGTCATTGTGCTGTATTGGAATTGAATTGTTTCCGGGAAGTTTTATAGGTTCATCATTTTCCCAAAATCTTTTATGACTTAAAAGATATTGTGACGCCATTTTATACCTCTTGATTGCAGAGAATAAGAAATTTTAATTAGTGCAATGAAAGTAGAATAAATTATATACTAGTCAGCAAAGTAATATATGACAATTCATAAAATACTCCTTCACTCTTTTGTTTCTAGGAGACATTTATGACAATTTTAACCAAAAATCCTCACTAAAAACACTATGCCGTGTTCCTAAAAAATATATACCTTGTCATTGAGTTATATCTTGCTAAAGTTGAACGAAAGTAATTTTGATTTATGATGTAATTTTAACAAAAGTACAATGTTCTCGGGCATCTAAGCAATACTCGTTTGATAAATTGTCCTTTCGACCTGTACTTTTAAACACGTAAAATTAAAAAGGCAAATAAAAATTCCTAAACGTTTACTGAGTACATTGTCAACTTGCTACGTTGTTTAGTTGAGTTTCATATAAAACTGGAGTCGCAAGTACGTATTTCACCGTCACGTATAAATACAATTTTGATGCAAGATCAAAACAATCTTAGCATTTAAAGGTTATGCAACTGATTAAATTACAGAATTAGTGTTAGATATTATATTACAGGTTAAATATTGTATTAATGTGGTATATTTGTTTGTTGAGGTCTGGTTTCAGTTTTTTAATGTAGAGCGCTTCTTTCAGTTTAAGAGAAAAAGGAGAGTTTTTCTCTTAGCGGTGTCTAAGATGCGAAAACATGAATGGTTGTATTTTGATTTGCAATGTGGTGAAGTGTGAAGGTGTTTATAAATATGTGAGTTTTTGTCGGAATGTGTGTGTTCTTTGATACGCGTGGAGAGATGGCGAGTTGTCTCACCAACGTAACGGGAATTACATCCCGCACATGAAAATTCATAAACCACGCAAGATTTGAGTAGAAATGGAATACTGTTTTTAAAACTAAAAAGATTTTTTATTTTGTAAGATGAGAAGACCAATTTGATTTTTAAGTCAACACAGAAGCGTTTTGCTAACTTCCGTAGTTTTTGTTGAGTTGTGTGTGAGTATGAGCCAATGTAAGGAAGTTTGAAATAGTATATGTTTGGTTTGTTTTGGTTAGGTTCATCTGATGCTTGTGTGTCTGATTGTATTTTGTCGTTGAATGATTGGATGACTTTGTCTATGAAATGGACAAGAAAAGAATTGCGTTTTAAAGTTTCAATTAGTGTGTTTATGTCATTTTCGCAGCCGTTTGTTGTATTGTTGATTCTGTGGATGCGTTCAAGGAGAGTTTTTACAAGTCCTGTTTTATAATTACGTGGTGTAAAACTAAAAAGTTCATTAAGTGTCCAGTGTAAGTTTTCTTTTGAAAGACGGAAGTTATGCATTTGTCTGAAGTTGTGTCATTAGTGATAAGTATGTCTATGAAAGGCAATTTATTGTCCTGTTCTTTTTGTACTGTAAAGGTAATGTTTGTGTGTTGTAGGTTTAAATAATTAAGGATTAATGAGGCGTCGTTTTCGTTGTTAAATATACAAAAAATATCATCTACGTAACGTCTGTAAAAAAGTACGTTTGGTCCGTCGTAGTTAGTTAACCAATTCTTTTCATGATAGCCCATGAAGAGATTGGCAAGTACTGGTGCCAGTGGAGAACCCATTGCCCCCCCCGTCGGTCTGGTCATAAAAGTGTTCGTTAAAGAGAAAGTTTGTGGGTTTGTGGGTTTGTGAGTTTGTGGGTTTGTGATGTAGCGATGTTGAACAATTCTTTTAAGTCATATCTGTTGATGTGAAAGTTGGGTTGTTGTGTAAATAATAAGTCGAGTGCGATGTCTATTGTTTCAGTTAGTGGAATGTTAGTAAAGAGGCTCTTGACATCGAAGGAAGCGATATATTTGCTGTTGATGTCTTGGTTGTTTAGTTCGTCTTTAGTGGTGTAATCGTTGGGAACTAAAGGGCTAAGTAACGAGCATAGGTATTTCGATAGTTTGTAGTTGTAAGAGTTTATGGAAGAGACTATTGGTCTTAGTGGAGGTGGTGTGCTGTGGTCTACGTGTTTATGGAGTTTAGGGAGGCCATAGAACCTTGCTGGTTGTGAGCCTGAAGGAAAGATCTTGGAATAGGTGTAGTTGTCAATAGAGCCCTGTTTTTTGAGTTTCCTAAGAGAGTGCTGTAGTTTAGCTTCTCGAGAGAGTGTGGGGTCTTTCTCTAGTAATTTAAACTTGGATTTATCGCTAATAATGTTTAAACATGAGCTATTGTATACTTCTCTGTCCATGATAACTACTCCGTTGCCTTTGTCTGGTTTTAACAATAAAATGTTCTTATTATTCCTAATGTCCTTTAGTATGCGATGTTTCTCGAGATCTGATGGTGACGGAATACATGAGGAAATGTAGCTTTGAGCAATGTGGATGAGTTCATTCTTTACGTGGATGTAATCTTCTTGGTTTTGGAGCTTGTTTTGTATAGTGTAATGGATCCGTTCAAATGTTGCGAGGATATCAGCATCGTTGTGTCTTGGAGGTCTTATGGAGAAGTATAGTCCGTTCTTGAGTAGGTCGAGTTCATCAGGTTTTAGTTTATATGAAGACAGATTTGTGACGGTTTCTCTGTGCGTGAAAGGTAGCGTTTTGTTACGTGTGAGATTCTTTAACTTCTTTCTGTGGTTACATAAGAGTGTGTTTATCGTTTTCGTAATAGTCTTAGCTAGAGCCTTTTCTAGAATATGCCAGTCGACTGTATTTAGTAGTGCTTCGAGTTTCGATGATATCTTGTCCATATTTCTCAAGTTTCCTCTTTTCTTTTGACCGTTTTAATACAGCAGAGCGAAGCAATCGCTTACAAATAGCATGGACATCCTGAGCATTAACATTCATTCAGGCTCACAACCAGCAAGGTTCTATGGCCTCCCTAAACTCCATAAACACGTAGACCACAGCACACCACCTCCACTAAGACCAATAGTCTCTTCCATAAACTCTTACAACTACAAACTATCGAAATACCTATGCTCGTTACTTAGCCCTTTAGTTCCCAACGATTACACCACTAAAGACGAACTAAACAACCAAGACATCAACAGCAAATATATCGCTTCCTTTGATGTCAAGAGCCTCTTTACTAACATTCCACTAACTGAAACAATAGACATCGCACTAGACTTATTATTTACACAACAACCCAACTTTCACATCAACAGATATGACTTAAAAGAATTGTTCAACATCGCTACATCACAAACCCACAAACTCACAAACCCACAAACCCACAAACTTTCTCTTTAACGAACACTTTATGACCAGACCGATGGGGCAATGGGTTCTCCACTGGCACCAGTACCAATCTCTTCATGGGCTATCATGAAAAGAATTGGTTAACTAACTACGACGGACCAAACGTACTTTTTTACAGACGTTACGTAGATGATATTTTTTGTATATTTAACAACAAAAACGACGCCTCATTAATCCTTAATTATTTAAACCTACAACACACAAACATTACCTTTACAGTACAAAAAGAACAGGACAATAAATTGCTTTTCATAGACATACTTATCACTAAAGACACAACTTCAGACAAATGCATAACTTCCGTCTTTCAAAAGAAAACTTACACTGGACTCTTAATGAACTTTTTTAGTTTTACACCACGTAATTATAAAACAGGACTTGTAAAAACTCTCCTTGAACGCATCCACAGAATCAACAATACAACAAACGGCTGCGAAAATGGCATAAACACACTAATTGAAACTTTAAAACGCAATTCTTTTCCTATCCATTTCATAGACAAAGTATCAAAACATGCTTTATAGAAGCGGGATATTCGTGTACATATATAACTGATTACACGGTTGTTGTTGTATGGCAAGCGTCATTTCAGGTGCTTTAATTGGCTCAAACGTATTGTTTTCCTTTATAAAATAAAAAACAATGAAACGCGAGCGGTGATTGGTCTCCAGCCGTGTTTGCATTAGTCAGTGTAAAACAGAACTGATAAGATATGCATTCTGTGATTATAGGCACATTAGGAATTATAGTAATTTACTGTTTAATATTTATTCTGTCATAGTGTCATTCATTGCAGGGGCGGATCTAGAGTATGTCAAATCCGTCGCGCGACGGATGTTTGAAATTCAAAAATTACCTATTCATATTAATTAAAAATCATTAATTATTCTTACTTTAACCAAAAAGAATGATAGCACAGCGCTTTAACCAACAACTACAAATAATAACGACCTTATCTAAAAACATTTGAGAAATTAACCTTCCACTCCTCTTCCTTGTAAACGAGACAAAAGTCTACTCAAAAGCAGAGAGCCTTGTACGCTACAAGTCCCGGGCTTGTGACCGGTATAGCAAGTGAAAGGTTTATCATAGATTAATCAAATGAATATTCCTGCTCATTTTTTGTTTGGAAGCATGTTGAACAGTTCATATGGACAAAGCTCAAATTCCATATTAAATATCAGTAACATAATCCGGTGTTAATGTTAAACAATACATCATTGCCCTTCAGTGAAAGCATCCCGCTTTCCACTGGAAAAGAATCTAATATCGATGTTAAACATAGATTGTTACAAGCATCCAGCTTGCCAATATGTATAATGCTCTCTGCTTTTGAGTAGACTTGTCTCGTTTACAAGGAAGAGGAGTGGAAGGTTAATTTCTCAAATGTTGTTAGATAAGGTCCTAATTGTTTGTAGTTTTTGGTTATAGCGCTGTGCTATCATTCTTTTTGTTTAATAACATTCCAACTATTCTTTCTTTATTATCGCATTTACTTCGTGATAATAACCAGCTTTATTTATTATTGAAAACTGATGACTAATCCAATGAATATCTCGTTGGTAACCAGATCAGTCGAAATTTAATTGACCTGAAATAACCGACTGATAAGCGGGGTGGCTTGGCTGGTTCGACTGATAAAGGAGTCTATGAACGCCAAAAACGCTTATTTTATTGCTCAATGGCCAGATCAGTGGACAGTTTAGAATGGTTTCCACTGATAAGAGGGGTGGCCGGACGTATAAGGTAGTCCGATTGCTATCTTACAATTGGTTCATTTGAATTTTTCTTTTATTGTGATTGGTTTGACGGAGTTCGTCTGATAGC